CGCTCTTCCATCAACACTCCCCACACCCTCCCCCCAAAAAAGACCCTCCACCAACCCATTTAGGTGAGAAGGACTTGAGGCACAGCCCTTCACACCTAGTAACAGCACTGGACAATGCCATGCAGTCTCAGCACCCTGGAGAGCAAAACTAGGCCTCAGAGAGAGGAACTTGAAGCTTCAACTGACCCTTACCTTGAAACATGCTAACAACAGATGAAAGCAGTAAGGCATGATAGCTCTACTGGTACATGGCCAAAGCTTCAAATCAGACCCTGCAACAGAACAGTTCTTTAGGGGTCTCATGATTATCTCAGTTTGAAAGAAATTAGAATGGAGCAAAACAAATCTACAATTGCTAAATCTCCAGTAGGGAGGAAAGCTTTGAAGGTAAACTACGAATGATTCAAAATGGGAAGTTACACATTTAAATTTTTTTATTAATTTCTCTTCTCCTGTGGTAGGACTTTGTCACTAACAAGCATTAATAGATACCAGCATGAAAACCACTCATGAGGGTGGATAAAAAATTCCCTTTTCATAATACAAAACTGGAATAATTATATACTTAAGCAGAACACATCAACTAAAATTCAGCCTTCACTGAGTTTAGGGTAGTAGCAACTTCTTACCTTTCCTGAATTTAGACTTGACTTTAGGTTGCTCCTCTTGTACTTTACTGCCTTCTTGTATTGGTAGTAAAATACAGCACATGAGGTCAAGGACTTTTTCACATGTTTGCTATAAAAAGAAGGGATATAATAATAATATAATCTAAATTAAAGTTCTAAAAATTCAAGTATGTTAATAATGATTAAAAGTTTCAGACACTGTAAAATAAAAAAAAAAATCACAAAATTTTCTGCTAGAACTTGAATAGACAATGCACAGCATAGTCTGGCTAAGCAAAAAGACAGAGCTGTCAGTAAACAGTCTCTGAGAGCTTACACACATCATTTTAATAGTAAAAAATAGGTGTTGGCATTCTTCATTTCAAGAGTGTAAGATCAATACAACTGTAACCAAAAATATTTTATTTTGAAAGATTGAGTTTTCAGATGAATTCTTAGAAGAGTTTTTTTAAGCTTGTTCTGTTCACAGTAAAAAATAGAAAGGAAAATGGGAATCTGACAGCATGACAGAAATCCAATGAATTTTTAATGCTATTTCCTAGAGACAGTAAGAGGCCCATGGGGATCTATGATTACATTTCCAGTGAAAAAGTAGTAAACAGGAAGGAACAAAAGCACTTGTCCAGTAGTACTAGGATGATGTTAGATCCTAAGAGACAAAGCCTTTATTATCAGTGCTGACACTGGCTGACCTCAGACCACCATGCAATCTTGTAACATTAAAAACACAAAACATGTATTACAAAGATAAAGCAAGTTCAGAGGTCAGGCCAGACAGTATTTTTCTGGAGTCTCTTATACTGTCAGTTGCTAAATAATTCTTTTCTAAGATGATCCCCAAAGTTTCTTTACTTCTTCTTTCCCCTGCTACATGGAGTCTATACCCAAGAATTTTCTCTCAATTTAAAGAACTGATTCAGTGAAGTTAAGGAATTCAAATTTAATGTTATATTTACAAGACCACCCAAACACTTGTAGCTATGGAAAATCATAACTAAAACCCTAAACCATAACTACCAAAAGCAATATATATATATATATATAAGAGTTGCTAACAGACAGTCAGTTAACATGGCAGGAAGTGCAATTCTCCCTGTGAAGCATGGATTTCTCAGCAGACCCCGGCTTATGTTTGATACCCTGTTGGAAGTAGGCTAACAGGAAAATTCAAATGAAGAAGACAAACAGGAGCACAGGGCTAGATGAAGAACCAGTGTGTGGAATGTTGTACATACCCGATATTCTCCAAGGGCAAAGTGGCAGGATGCTAACTGTATTAGTGCTCTCTGATTTTCTAGAGATCCTTGTCCTGTAATTTGCTGTGGAGAATGAGAGCCCTGAAGAGCTGCCAAGTGATGTAGACTGCTAATTGCTTTTTTGTACTGCCCCTTTAAAAAAGGATATAAAACCCCACTGTTAGTGTCTTCCCTGTACAATGGGTAGAGAGATAGAAATAAAAATTCCCTGACAGAAAGTTTTCAAAACAGAGTGTGTCCAAGTAGTAAGTCTAACCTAACACTCTCCAGTGACAGGCTGTGTACAGAGTGTGGATTGATCATTTGCAAGGCAATGAGGAGACAAACAGAATTCTGCTTTAAATATCCACATTTGTAACTGAATCAAATAATCACACTCTTCTGAGTTAATTGTTACTTTAAAATTCCCTGACAGAAAGTTTTCAAAACAGAGTGTGTCCAAGTAGTAAGTCTAACCTAACACTCTCCAGTGACAGGCTGTGTACAGAGTGTGGATTGATCATTTGCAAGGCAATGAGGAGACAAACAGAATTCTGCTTTAAATATCCACATTTGTAACTGAATCAAATAATCACACTCTTCTGAGTTAATTGTTACTTTATTTAGGCTAATAGTTATTTAGGCTGTCACACTCTTCTAGGCTAATAGTTACTTTATTTAGGCTAATAGTTAGAAATAGCTCTTGTTCAGGTACAAGTACAGGCAAGAACAAAAGACCCCTAAAGGAAAAATATAAAAGAACAAGCTTTCTTCTGTAGATGTTATTGGAATGAACACAGACAACTTCATTTTTGAGGAGAAAGAGAAGTGTTAACTGAGACATGTTAAAATCTGCTGTTTGAAAATTTTTCCCTCTGAATGCACAGACAGACTGATAAAATGCCCTTTCATATGTTCTTTCATATGTTCATATGTTCTTCCATAACACTACATATATATCCACTGGTCAAAATGCCCATGCAGAGGTGTTTTCCATAGGCCAAAACTAGCTGGACTCAAACAAGAGCTGTTAGGACAGGAATATCCTAAGTAGGGTCCCAAGCTTGTGGCATAAATGGTATAGTTTCATCCCCAAAAGGGTCATACTTGATAAAATCAGCAGACACCATAAGCAGTCAAACTGGCTAATCAGAACAGCTATTTACTAGAAGGAAGAACAACACAATGGTGTAGTTTTTTACTAGCTTATATTGTATTTTTTTTACCTGGTAGATGATCATATCTGTAAGAAAGATTCTTAACCAAAGCCAGGTCTCGGTCTTCCATGACAAACAAATTCTGGTGAACTCTGTGTAAGTGGTTAGAGAAGACAAATTAAAAGATAGAATTAAGCATTTCACAGCTTTGAGTTAAAAATCAATTATATATGCATGAAAAAGCTGAATTTTGAAATGTAAAAAACCCCACTAAAACAGTAATAGTATGAAATTCTTCAAATATAGTGTACTCTGCCTATACAGTCACATTTTGATTATACTTCTCACAATCTCCAACAAACCTGTAAGCAGCTAGGTGGTACTATTTGCCTGCATTTTAGAAGAGAAATTTGTTTTCAAGATTATCAGAAAGGGAGAGAGGCAGTAGAGACACATCTTCTCAAGCATGAACTAAGCAGCCATTAGCAGCACATCCTTGTTGAGTGTTTTCAGCACTACTACTAACCAACTGCTGCAAGAGAAGTTGGGGTGAATAAGCAAAGATGCATCAAGTATGAAATGAAATATAGGAACAAAATACTCAGAAACACAACTGACAAAGCTTCTTATTGGAACTTACGTCAAAAATACTCAGGACTGGAAGTAAATTTGATTTTAAGGATTCATAATGACAGGAATTCCATTCTAACTATAGTAAAATGATTTCTGTGCAGAGCAATGAAGCCTAGCTGCAACTCACAGTAGTCCTTACCTTTGTCAAGTGATTCCAGAGAATAGAGCAGCTCCCAGCTCTCTCTTGCCAGTTTGAAGCTCTCTAATACTTCAATGGAGTTTGCAAGATCTGCCTTGTTTACTGTAATATGACGACTTCGTGCCTTCCCAGAAGGATCCTCATCATCTGAGCTCTGCTTAAAAGTTAGTATAAAACAGAAAGATTCACTTCTTAATTTACACTTATTTCAAAGGACTCTACAGACACAAAACTTCCACTGACCATGAGAAAACAATTACATACTAGAGATGACAAGGTCCTAGTTTAAGTGCATTTAAGTGACTTTTCACTTAGCTTGTTTGAATATTAGAACAATCTGATTTGCTACCAAGAAGCTCAGTGGTAGAGTGTGATAAACAGTATCCCAAATGAATTCATTCTGTTTAACACAGCAAAGCACCACTGAGCTTCAGCTACATTATCTGTCAAGTACATACACACTGTACCACTTAGTTTAAGCCTACACTAGCATAATGCAAAAGAAATCCTTGTATAAGTGTATGCTTCTACCAGCAGGGAAATTCCATAAAATAGTGGTTCTCTACCATTAAAGTAATTCACAGTTCCAACCACAAAAAGTCAATTACTTCGGAAGTTTAGCTACAGAATGTCTGACTGCTATAGCTACCTTTTAACAGCTTCTGCAGCCTCTGCTGCACTCCTTCCAAGTTGAAGTGTTCACAGCAGTACGTATGTGTCTACAGCAATTGCTGCAAAATCTGCTTTATTCTTGCTGGTTTTAGCAAAAGAAAATCTGTTTGAAAATTGACATAAACAGCTATTCCAGGGTAGCACTGAAAATATTCTATTACATCTAGGACAAAACCACTGTTGTTTGAATTCCAGTACCAATGCCATTCTCCTCACGAATGAAAACTTCTAGAAAAGTTACCATTGTTTTTTCTCTTCCTTCAGCAAGTTTCCTCTTTTTGTGTATGTGTTTGTTACGATCAATATCTGTATCACCATAGATGTTGGATACATCCTCGAGAAGAACCAGTGGGGCTTGGTTTGGAGCATTTGGACCTGGATTTAAAGATAAATTAATTCACAATTGTTCTAAACTGATCTGAAAGGCCTCACGTCTACAGCAAACTGGTTTAGTTTCCCTCACAAGTATTGACTATAATGCTAGAGAAAAATATCTGAAATTATGTCACTTAAATTGCATAAGCTTAAATTACGCTGGGAAAGCAGCCTTATGGTAAAGGTCAGAATGAATTTACTAGACATCACAAGAGTTTGTTTGAGAGCTTCAGAGTATCTTTGAATCCTTTTCTTACAGAGCAGTCACAAAACATACTCAGGCAGCAGGTGTTGTCTCCTCAAGCATTATTTACTTTTATACAACTATTGAACAGATAAACACCACAAATGGCTCTGAAGGTAACACATGTGGCAAACCACTGCAATATTCTCAAAACAGTCTCATGAGAAACCAAAGCAATATGCTGACAGGCACTGATGCCTCAAAGAAGTGAGTGTGTATTATGACAATATTTCCCTAGTAGGATCACTCTGTCAGCTTTGTCCCCACTGATTTCAGTAGAGAGAATTAAACCTTTAATTGTCTGCCAGAGCTCTTCACTCTCCAAAGTGTCTCTCTAGAGAAGCCTCATTTTGAAGCACAGAAGACATAATTTCTGCTTTCACTGGTGTCATGGAACATCCAGTGGGATCCAGCACCTGTTATTTCACATCCCAGTGCTTAAGTTTCATTAGATATAAAACAGGAACAAGATTTCTTAATCCCAAACAATGTTGATACATAATCACTACTGAGACAGCTTTCCTTCCAAAAACATTTTCTCCTTTTGCACAATCAAGTTGTACATGAATGTGCAAGGCTCAGACAATGAAAAATACGAAGCAAAGGAAAAATCCATTCATCTATTTCCTCTTTCTGAAATCTCTGACAGGTAAGACAGTAATGCAGACAAGTATTTTCAGTATGTGCATCTCTTCTGTTCTTATTTGCAGAATGGTCTGAGGCTAAGGCCTCATTCACAACTGCAAAGAACTAATCTGAGAGTTTAGTAGAAGGACAATCCATTTCATCTCCTGACAACAGAACCTATATTAAGCTTTCCCCATCAACTCAAAAGTGATTGTCCACTACAACAGAAGTTAACGTTACAAGAAACAGCCAACTTGGCATACTTAACAAATAAGGTTATCTCCTTTCAGTAGGTCCAAACTAAATACCACCCTTGAAATGTCCCCCACACAAAGGCTACAACACATTGAAATTACCTCTCCTGTACCATTATGTTTTCCATTGTGTCAGAATCTAACCTGTGTGAACTGAAAATAGAGCCAAGACATAATGCAAAAAGTAGCACCCATGAGAAACATGCATGAAAGTACCACATCTGGGATGCTGGAAGAGTTTTACCACTAGAATCTCAAGAGCTGTCTCGTTCTAACACCTGAGAAGAAAAGAATGGGTTTTTCTTTCATTCCTACTGGTTTGAATTAATGCCAGCAAAGTGCTTTGCTCACCAAAGAAGAGCTCTCTCCCCGGTATCCCCAGCGCACGGTAGCTGTTATTCCAAAAACCTCCAGTCCAAAACCAAAGCACAACCTATCCTCATGCTTGACTGGGGCTGCAGACCTTTTACATTACTGAAAGTTACACAGCCATACAAAGAGCAGCGTTGTGTTCTTCTGCCTAACTGAGCTCTAGAATTTAAGCTTACAGAGTTTTCAGTTGATTTCTAGCAGAGACTGTTATAAATACACCCCTAGAATCATCAGCTTGCTTTCTTTTAGCAACTACTACCAAGCCTGCACACAGGTCGAGAGGTATGAGCTGCCACAAATCTCAAGTCTCTAGCAAAGCAGGTATGAATTACCTAAGAGAAAGGCATTTAAAGTTTTGCCTCAAGAGGTTTCTTGCAAGTCCATGGCACATGATAAGAAAGTCACAGATCTAAGCTCAGAGGTACTGATTAAGGAGGAGACAGGTTTTTTCCCCACCACTCTGCTTCCAAAATATGCAGGATTCTACATTTCGACAGTTAAGCCTTCCAAAGAGAAGGAGGAAAAGCCCTACTGCTAGAAAGGATATGAAACACACTGAATAACACTGGACTGCAATGCTAAAGCAGAAATGAGTAAAATATGTCTTGGAAATACTTTCCTGATGTCAGGAAATGACAGGAGGTACCAGTTATGCTGTACCACAGCTATCTGCTATCTCAGTTTGCATTCTTTTTTTGATGGTTCAGTCTGAAAACATGAACTCTGACATACTGAATCATACAACTTAGAAAGGAACATTTTCACCAGTTCTTTACTTCCTTCCTTCCTCAACTTGGAATCAACCAGCTAAAACTACCTGCACAGCGGAAGTACCTCCCTGCCCCATCGTAACTCATTTTTCCCCTGGACAGAACAAAACCTCAACTCAATTAGTTCCTGTATTCATTAAAGTGACTACGAGTTCTTTGCATACAAGTTGCCATGTCATTTGTCCTCTGAGCTTAGCTATCTACTGACATTGTTCTACCTTCTGTACAGCTGTTTAAAACCCATCATTTGTACTGACTGTTTCTTCACACGAATGATCATTTGCTCCATGCAGAAAATTGTGATGAAGCTTCTAATTTTAATTCTGTGTGTTTTGAGCATAATTTTATCATTAATCCATAATTGTAGTGTCAATAAGAACTAATTACCTATAGTGACGATTGTTATCGTTGTAAGGAATTCCCTATCAGTGAGTGAAGAAGTAGGAAATGCACATTATTAAGAGCTGAAAATTCCTCTCTGTGACACTGTTTATCTCAGGAAGTTCTAAACAAGTTGGAGGTTAAAGAACTTCCATCAGCTTCTGGGTCACTCCTGAAAAGTCCAATCAATCCAAGGTGTTCCAATCAATCTGATATGCCCCAAATGCAGACATGAGTGGGTAGGAAAATGCACAGGTAACATTCACACTTTCAATGTTCAGTTCACAATTTAATTACAAATTAGGATTAATATGCAAAACGCATCTTAAAGATTATGCTTAAACTGTGCAAAAAAAGCCAAGTTGGAAGCTTGTGAATTTCAGGAAATCTTTTCCTATTCAGCTTTTATTTGATTAATTACAAGTTTGTTGTGTGTCCCAACGCAAAAATATCTTCACTGATTTTGTGGAAGCCTTTTGTACAATCTTTTGATGGAAGGAAAGCAGGAAAACGTCAACTTCAAAGAAACAAAATTCTAGGCATGTTTCTCAGACTATCTGGTCTGTTACTTTTCTCCCTGCTAGACAGTTAACTGCTGCTGGCCAAGGCTGAAACCATGATGCTAAGTTAGATTGATCTTTAGTCTGATCCACTGCAGGAGTTATGAATCATAAAATGGTTTAGGTTGGAAGGGACCTTAAAGATCATCTAGTTGCAAGGGCCCTGCCACGGACAGAGACACCTCCCACTAGACCAGGTCACTCAGAGCACCATCCAGCCCAGTCTTGAACACTTCCATGGATGGGGCAGCCACAGCTTCTCTGGGCAATCTGTTCCAGTGCCTCATCACTCTCACAGGAAAGAATTTCTTTCTTATACCTAATACAAACTCACTCTTTTAGTTTGAAGCCATTCCTCCTTGTCCTGCATTACATTACAAGTCCCTTTCCAGCATCCTTGTATGCTCCCTTCAGGTACTGGAAGGCTGCAATTAGGTCACTCCAAAGCCTACTCCAGGCTGAACAAGCCATATTCTCTCAGCCTTTCCTTGTACAAGAGGTTCTCTACCCCTCTAATCATCTTGGTGACCCTCCTCTGGACTCTTATGTCCAGAACTACTGCTGATAAGATTAATGGCTTCAGAGGATTTTAAACAAGACCCATGTCAATGTCCCTTTGTCAGATGACAGTTTCAAAAGACGAATGAGAAAGGACCTTTCAGACATTAGTAATGAAATCACAAAGAACTCATTACAGAAGTGGAAGCATTAGAAACTAACCTTGAAAGAGTGATGGCTGAATGTTGCTGACATACTGAAATGCATTTTTAAAGAAGACCAACATCGTGGAATACACTACTTGATTCTTATATTTAATGTGGGCATCACTATCGAAGTTACTGATGTATCTGCAGAGATCTTTCATTCGATGCAAAATGTCACCAAAACTTCTGAGGGGAAGACAGACAAAAAGAATTCAGGATGTTATACAGACTCTGAAACTGAAGAATGCATAGTGAATATGAAAATCTAAATGTTTTGGCTGAGGATATCCCCCAGCCTCACATGAGTGGAGGCTGGGAATATATGCTAGTGAAACTTCACTAAACATTTACCATGTTTCTCTGTGCTGAGGATCATAGGGAAGGATACCCCACAGTACTGCAGTTCTTATGCATGACTTTCATAACAAAAACTGAATTTGGAGACTAATTTGAAAGTACTCTCTGGACCCAGGTTTTTGCTTTACATTGTATGGTTTTGAAATAAAAGCTGCTGTCATCTTACACAAAATATCCTCCTGTTAGGATCCTTCTTCAATCCATGTCCTCAAGAAATAAAAAGTCAAATTCTCCTTGAGAAGAAATATCCAGAAAAGTACACATTTCTTACCTTCTTCCCTTATCCATTTGCCATTCACACCTCATTCCCACTACAGACAATATTTTAAACAGCCTCTCCCAAGGATCTGTAATCTGGGATGACTTCTCTGTGAGACCATCTATTACGTATTTCTGAGAGCTACGCTTGCTTGGAGACATAATATCAGAGGAATCTTGTGAACCTAGGAAAACCAGCACATTTTTCTCTTCATAATGAACTCAAATCAACTGATTAATTTTCAAGAAGGAGACACGTAAGAACTACATCAGAGCTTTCAGGGTCACCATTACTTACTGGCTAATAGGGAGCAGTAGGCATTTCAGCCTCCTTGAACAAGAGAGCTGATAAGCTGGGTAAGGGCATCTTGGACATTCTGTCCTACCTCTCAGTACATACACTGAAGCATCATGAGCATCATGACTAAGTAGTTGTAGCACCATGGAGTATTTTGGAATCAAAGAACTCAGAAACATCAAATACTACTACTAATCCTTGTCTGTGGGATACCTCACATAAAATAATACATTTTTTTATTTATGGGCATCATTTCAGTAATACTAAAATGCACTCTTAGGAAGTTTAATTTTATAAAAACATTCTTACCTTGATATTGGCTTTCTGTCTGTGTAGATCTAGTTACATAGTTAATATAAAATTCTGCTGCTTTATTCAGGTATTTATATAACAAGCTGGCAGGAAGTCGTACATCAGGGTTGTTGATTATTAGAGGAAGAACATCACAAACTAAAATACAGAATAGAAAACAAAACAAAAAAATATCCTTTAGGCTTGTGGGGTTTTTGATCTATTTGTCCTATGTAAGGTTTCTCATGCAGCAATGTGAGCCTCTGTCTCTGGCTGACCATACACCACAGAGAACTCACATGAATGACTAATACCAATTCATACCATATGGTCAGCCTGGACTAATGTGTCCTGAGCCTCTTCTGACTAAAGCAGTTTTCAAACCATAGCACCTTTAAAGTATTTTACTGATCTCAGAACCTTGCCATACTAAAAAGTTGTATAGCAAAACAAGAGCGTTAGTATCTTCTTACCAAATAATTTTCTAAAACAATTCACTGGAGATTCTTGGTCTTCAATACTTTCAGCATCCAATAATGTTTCTCCAAGGCCTACCTGTGTGGGCAGAGGTTAAAATCAAACACTGGACCCATGGCTTTAGAAACATTTTGAACTGTAATTCATTGGGGTTGAACAATAATTCAGTGGATGCACGTGTAGCAATTCACTCTATGGCAACAGCATGTGCTAGTTTCTAAATGTATGGTTAAACTATTCCTGCTTAATAACAGGTGAAAAGCAATGCCAGAAGACAACACAACAAGACCAAGAGAAACTGTGCATGTGACTGCATCAGTAAAGACATGTGCAGATAGGTGAAACTGATGTATGAATGATATTCTTTCCTTTACAAAACAAAGAATTGTTTTATTTGCTTCCATTTGTTTTCTGCCTAATTCCTTCCTGGTGGTCATGTCAAGATACAGCAATCTGAACTTTTAGCCACAACTAAACATGAATAAAAAGACTCTCTCACTAGGCAAAGGAAAACACATTTCAGCAAAATCTCAAGTAACAGTGCCAATACCCTGAATAGTTACTATGAGCTTCTCTTCTCTTACCCCATGCTGCACCACAGTCTCTGGGAAACGTCGCAGAAGTAGTAGTAGCATTTCTGCCCTTTCTAATGTGTTAAAACATTGCTCTGTGGCCTTCAGTAACATTTCACACTGGACCCGACCAGGAAGGGTCTCAAATAATCCTTAAAACAAAAAAAATTCAAAAAAAGAAAATGTTTAACTTGCAGTGCCTAGATTGCAAAGGTGACTAATGAAGGGTAAAGACCAGTCAACACCACCTTGCCATGCAGAGCGAAAGGGATTTCCTTACACTTTGTACAGCTTTTAATACCAATGCCTGAAAAAAGGTCTGTTCCTTTCAGAGAAGACCAAATGAATATTTATCTGTGCTTATTCAGCTGCACAAAACATGAATTAACAAATGAAGCTGCTAATGAGTGGAATACTCAAAATCCTAACACTTCAGTATTTGACACTTCAAGATGCTTTTTCAAGACCGTTCATTTATTTTTTTACTTATATTCCACTTCTACAATTAATGCTTTCCTTATTAAAATTTAGGGGTTTTTTCAATTTAAGCTGCCAGTGAGACACTAAAAAGAAACTAACATATTATCTCCCTATGTTTTATGAATTCACACTGAAAAATAAACACACTCCATGAAAAATCAAATGTTTTCCTTACTGGAATAGCTGTATGCAGAGCTACACACTGCTTGTCCTTACAGCCTCTGAAGCACATATTCGAACAGCAGGTTATAATTTGTCAGGTGTAAATCCTGGTGGTTGCCAGCAGTGAATACCAAGCCCTTCTGGTCACCATCCATTTTCATAACCCTCACTTCATTCCTATGAATTCACCCCATTTTTATGATCATTCATTGTTCTCTGCAATCTGTGGGATGATGATTCATAAGTCCCATTCCACTTACTCAATCTCTTTTCTAAGTGCTTGTTGTTCTGCCACACTAAGTCTACCCATATCAGAGACAAAGCAGTGGGAATCAGCTTGTCATATCCCTTTGTTTTCCCTAAAGTCTCTAAGGCCTAGTTGAGGAAAAAAACCCAACCTGCAGCCCACAAGCAAATTTAAAGACATTGACATTTACTTGTCCCACTAGATATGTAACCAGAGGGCTTATCTTTAGATTCCTTCAGGATAGAATCCTTACCTCTTAAAAACTGTGTCTGCTTGTCCTGTGAATCATTCCTTAATGCTGATGTAATAACACTGATCTCCCTCCATACAGCAGGTTGGTCTGGAAAATTCACAAACCTGTAATAAAGTTTGAGGCAAAGAAAGCACAGTGATCTCAAGAATCTGTTTCCAAGACCAAACCCTACCATGAACGTATGTGTACAGGCAAAGCAGAACAGAAACTCTTCCTTTTTTACTGATCAGTCTTAATTAACTAGACCTTTTCTGCTTAATTTATCCAAATGGATTTTCAAGAACACTCACATTATATTTTTGGAAAGTCTGACATTTATGGAAACGAGCATCTGGCGTAACTGTGGAGTTGCAGCTCTGATTACTCACATGTCGTAGAGCAGCCTGCCCGCAGACGCTGTCCTCTCAGCATTCCTCTCAATCGTGTACATCTCATACTGCAGGACACAAGAACAGAGCAACAGCTTTCCTGAACACATTTATGAATCAGATTAGCCCTTCCACTCTAAAAAACTCTCCTCAGTTTGCCATAGCAGTCTGAATAATAGGAGATTAAAGAACTGCAACATTTGCTGGAGAAATTAGGAGGTGAGTTTAGGCTATCTAACTACACATTAATTTAGGCATTAATTTCTGTGATAGAATACTTAACATTATTAACATGAAGAACCTTGCAGTATCTGAAGGGGCTTACAGGGAAGCTGGAGAGAGACTCCTTGTCAGGAACTGTAGTGATGGGACATGGATACAGATCTGGGTACAAATTGAAAGAGGGGAAATTTAGATTATATGTTAGGAAGAAATTCTTGACTGTGAGGGTGGTGAGTCAGTGGCACAGGTTGCCCAGGGACGTTGTGGATGTCCCAGTCCTGGCAGTGCTCAAAGCCAGGCTGGATAAGGCCTGGAGCAATCTGGCCTAGTGGGAGGTGTCCCTGTCCAGGGCAGGGGGAGTTGGGACTAGAAGATCTTTGAGGTGCATTTCCACCTTTAACATTCCACGATTCTATGAACACGCTGACTTAACTTTTACACAAACAGAAAACTTAGAACTCAAAGAGTCCTTTGACCAGGGTTTGTTTCCAGCGAAATGCGATGCAAAACGAGCCCAAGCTATTACAAAAGCCATAAGCAGGTGATGTACTTTAAACCGCGATTAGCAACGTCTGTTCTTTTGGCACCAGCAAACCGCAGCGTTTCACCGTGTGCAAACACGAGAAGCCAGAGGGACCGCTCCTCAGTCCTTAAAAAAAAATCCGACACTTTCAGAAAGCGTCCGCAGCCGCAAATCTCACC